AAAAGGGGATTTGGGAGATTCAAATGGGTCCGGTTCTTCAGTGGGTTCTAGGATGTTCTTTGGACATGGTTGAGAAACATAAAATGAAATCACGCACAGGCTGAGTGAACTGCACATCATGAAGAGTGGGCCCTTATCTCTTGCATCATACTCTCTCTCTCTCTCTTTCTGTCTCCGTCTCTCTCTGTCTCCACATTCTCCAGTTTCAGAGCAGCTACGGAGATGGATTTTCTTTTACATTAAAAAATCCAGTTCAGATATGGATGCAGACAATTATCGTGGCTTAAAGTTTGATTCATTTTTCTACATTTTCTACACTAAACTGAACTCAGTCAGATCCATGCACATCATTGCTCTGTCGTGTCATGCCTTATCCTCCTGGATCATGCAGAAAGTCCTCTGAGCAGACCGTCAAGGCTCCTCAGATATAACTGTCTCCCTGTCCAAGCCTTCGAGGAATGTCCAAACAATAAGCCAAGACATTCAAAGTATGTACAATATGCTTGTTGTCCCAGTGCAGCATCAGCGTCAGCACTGTTATGTGTAGGCCAAGATGGTAATCGTTCTCATCATGTGGGCAGGTGACTCGTCATTTAGAGTGACATGCAGAGAGTTTCTGCTCCTTCTAGTAAAGTACTTGCAAGTACTTCAATGGAAGGATATTTAGTAGAGCGATAGTAATAAAAAAAAAAAGTGTTTATGATTTAGTATTTTCTGGTGACCTTTGCTCACGGGGCAGCTGTTATCGTATCGGCAGCAGTTTGTCTGCCAACTGTAGAGTTGGAGGTTGATGTCTTTGACTCATCTATGTGTGTGTGTGTGTGCGTGTCTCTGGGATGTTTTTCATTAATTGTTTTCCTTGTTGTATTTCCTAGATAAGACAGTTAATTAAGATAGTTTTAGACACAGATAACCCTCACCGTCCATGAACACCCAGGATTCATTCTGATTCATCACAGAGTAGCTGTGGATTAATCGTAATTCCTCATGACTAATCACAAAAAACAAAACAAAACTTTCCTTAATGACTAGAATAGATTTTTTTATCTGTATATTACTGGAAGAGAGAGAGAGATAACAGCAGGTGACTAATCTATATTATTGCACTATAAATACACACACACACATATGAATATATATATATATATGAGTATATATGTACATACATAAACATATATACATAGGTGTGTGTATATGCCCGGAGCAAAGACTGACTCCAACCCCATTTGAAAACTAATGTGAGCTCCTCTTCAGTTATTGGTTCCCACTTTACTGTAGTTTTCTTAAGCCACAAATGAAAGACTTCAACTCAGTGATATGATGGTATGATATGGTGCGATCATATTTATTTATTATTCAGGATACAAATAAGGAGCATTAGAATATTCCAACAAAACCAAACAAACATACTTTGTCACAAGTATAAAATTTGTAGTTCTCTTTTTTTTTGTCTTCTTCTTCATGAAACCCAACTCGGGACAAAAACATTCTTTGAAAAAAGTGCCATTTTAAGGCCTTTCAAGAAGGTAACACCGCAAAAACAGTGGCTCCTCTGTAAAAGAGGAAAACTGACACGTACAACGGCAGTACTGTGTACTTTTTTTATAGTATAAATAGATCTGGATTTGACTTCAATCACTGTAATAAAGACTTGTTTCCCTTATTTTCATTAAAAGCAAGGGGCGAAAATGGTTTTTGGGGTTTGTTTGTAAACTTGCTGCACAGTCGTGATGAGACTGAATCACATCCACGACTCTCAGACCTAATTTCTCCGAAAAAAAAAAAAAAGAAAAAAACAAAAAGTGCAACCTTTATAAGGCATTTTGGCTGAAGTTCTGGCAACACTGGGTTGATGAAATCCCAGAAAACATTAGGGTAAAAAGACAACTTTTACACGTGACTCGATTGCCTTATCTGGGGGAAAGGGGAATTCATACGAGTGTTTTACAAAAAAAAAGTGCGATGCAGCTCAATCCCCACGCAGCACAGTGCAGTGGGTGTGAAGAGTCCACACACCCCTGTGAAAATGCTGCGTTTTAGTGTTAAACAATGACACCAATGATATCTGATTTTGGATCGTCTTCCATTCCACCATAATCCTCCACAACTTAACTGTATTTTATCAAAACACTAGAAAAATTAACTTAAAAAATTGGACTAGTGTTTTGGAAACTAAACTGTGTCTCTGTCTGGACAGACACCTTGGAGGTTGGACAGAAAAAAAGGGGAATTTTATTTTAATTTTTTAAATAGAGTCATAAATGGTGCTGATTACTGAAGTCCCAGTTGATTTTTCAGTTGCTTTAATAGCGGGGACCACACGACATTTTCACTATTTTGGAATACAGTCGTCGGCCGATTTTGACGGTTCAGTGGGCCAGATTCAGCCTGCAGGCCGCCAGTTTACGGTCACTGCCATAGACAGTACATTGGCAAGGAAAATGCTGGGCATCGCCAACAGTGCCCTTACCAAAATAAAGCCAACTCCAGCAGAGATGGGCGCTTGGTTTACGAAAAAACCCATCGGCCATCTCTGCCAGCAGGTGGAGCCACTTTAGGATGTTTATTATTTGGGATACAATAATGACAAATTGAAAAAAAACCTTGGTGTTATTGTTTTACAGGGTGTTGAACTTTAAACACCAACTCTTCCGACACCAGAGAACCTCCAGTGATACTCACTGACTGAGAGCTGAGCGGCCGGACGGTTCCACAGACCAGTGGGTGAGAACCCGTCCGTACAACATCGTCTGTGTGGTGAGTCTAAAGACTTACAGAAAACACACAGACCACCTCAACTGAAAAAAAGTCAAAAACCTCCCCAAGACCAACCTCGACCTTCTCTTGAACCAAACACAGCACTAACTGACAGAAGTTTGAGTGACAGGCCCTCAGTCTCACATGACCCAAAAAAAAACAAAAAACAAAAAACCACACGCGCACATAGTTTCAATAAAGCTCTCCAGGTGCTAAAGACTGTTAATAAATAGCACATTAATAAATAGATATAGTAAATTATTCTGCAATTTGTCAGGCTTTTACACTTTCACTCACCCCCCCCCCCCCCCCCCCCAGCCTGTCCCTCGCACCACTGTCAATTAAAAGAACGATATCTGAGTCTGCACTTTTTTTTCATTCTCTCTGTGGCTGTTGGAAAATATAAAGCTGTGCTTGCATTTGTCACCATGTCAATGGCTGTGGATGACGGTGGAAATATAAGAGACCCACACGCGATTTATGAAAAGGTTTACAAGTCCGGTATTATACTCAGGAAGAGGTTTAACTTAGAATCAGAAAGGAAGGTAATCACCACCGCGCCACTGAAATGCTGCTATACCTGTTGCTACCTCCTGTCCATATCACAACAGCACAGTCTGATGTTATCGGCCGCTCAGCCACTTTTGTTGCTGCCGTCACCTGTTCGCTGGACACGAGCGTGGACGGTCGCCTTAGACACCATCTTGCGATCCGTGGCCAGACCCAAGAAGCACATGAGGTCTATGAAGGCGGTGGTGAGGTTCAGCTTCCATCCAAATTCACCGGTGGCGTAGTCGAAGGGGAACGTGTGGTGGTAGTTGTGGAAGCCTTCGCCTGGAAAAAAAAAACAAAAACAAAATTACAATGACTATATAAACAAAAAACAAAATAACCTGAAAATACCCAATCCTACTGAAGAGACTGTTGAAGAGAAATATTGATACACAATTAATTATCAATTATTCTGTCAATCCTAGAATAAATAGCTAAAAATAGCTGTTGTTATGTTGTTATTTCAGTTGCTTTGATACTGGAGACCACACCCTTTGAATCCAGTCGCGAGCCAAGTTCCACGGTTCACTGGGCCAGATTTGGCCTGCAGACTTTTAGCTAGAATAAATAGCTAAAAAATAAATCAAATTAAATCCACTTTGTGCAGTTCTATATTTCATATCAACAACATACTGTAAGATACTCGTTCTTACCCATGGCACTGATTGCGACCAGAGGGTTTTCCCGGGGGTTAATGGTCTTGTCGTAGGGTCTCATGCCCCACATGTGAGCGGCACTGTTGACCAGCCATGTGGCATTGAGCACCACAGCGTATCTCAGCAGGCCAGGGACGAAGTAGGCCACCAGCAGAGATTCACCCCAAAAGTACCAGGGCACCAGGGTGGGCACGAGGAAGCAGAAGATCAACACTGACATTTTGTAGTGTCTGCGAAAGAAATACAACACAGTATTATGTACTACGGTGGGATCTCCAGATACCAGCTACCTGAAATGCAAGTTACGAGTAAGCAACTGCAAGATTTTCCTCGTGACACGAGGAAACATCGAGTTACGAGCGCTCAACTGAGCACGATGTCTTGCTGACTCTCGAGTGACTTAGTTAACTGGGTTTAATCTTCTAACTTTCACATGAAATGCAACAGAACCACCATTTTTTATATATAAATCTGTCCAAATCTGGGGATTCAAATGTATAATCCATCTATGCAGACCAGGCATTTAATGTCTAGAAAACTAGAGCTGTTTATTTGAAAGGAAGCAACCTTGAATGGAACGTAGAAACCACTGTGGTGTCAATTTCCAATGCCAACTAAACTGTACGCTCCATTAGACCACAGTGACAACATGCTGACAACATAATGTACATTATTTGACTGCTAAAACAGCGTCTGTGCCAGTGGAGGTCACAGGCCACTGTCAATGCTGAGATTACAAACATCGAAGCCAACAGTAACACCTCTGTGCACGTTCAATGACTGTACACAGCTGCCGGGGCTTTTGGACGGGACGGCGATCATCCGCGTTAATCCCACATTGACCGAGGGCACAAATGAAAAACTGGGAATGCTTCCAGAGCAAAGAAAGAGCAGGCTAACAAATGGCCAGCGAGTGGACGCTGCATGTGCACGCCGTCATTTACTCTGTGACAGCATCACCTTATCAGTACATTTGTTATCTTAGTCACTTTGACCCCTGATAAAACATCCGATCCGACTGAGAGAACATGACTTGTAATAACATCCCGAGTTGTGTAAATACCTAAAAATGACATGATTCAGTGACAGACTGAATATGGACATTCATTGCTGTCCACATATTCAAGTGTCCTAGTGTTGAATGGACAAATACCATTTTCCACCATTTGTCCTTGTAAGCAGGTCAACTATGTCAGCAATTATGAGGAAAAGGACATGAGCAAGTCACCACAGATTACCACAGAGCAACAAAACACTTTGTACTACTGCTGTCAAAGCTCTGCTCACTTCCTGTTCAGCTGTGCGTGTTAACTGTGCAAAAAGTCTCGTTTTTTTGCTCACCGTCTCTGAAACATCACCACTTTATCCGCCTTCAGGTCGGACAGGTCCAGCTTCCGTCCCTTTTCGATGACATCGGGGTGTTTGCGGACGAGCAGCCAGCCGATGTGCGAGAAAAAGAACCCCCTGGTGGCATTGTGAGGGTCCGCGTCTGTTTCAGAGTACTTGTGGTGGACCCTGTGGTCCCTCGCCCACTCGTATATGTCATTCTGCGTCGCACAAAACACAAGCGGAGGAGAGAGGGGATTAGGTCGTGAGATCTAACCATGTAACAAAGTTGCTTTATTTAAACCGTTGATTCCCAACCTCTGTGCAATGGATCACTTAATTTGTCCCAAAACTATTATTTATTTATTTATTGCAAATATTTTATCTTTGTTCGTTAATATGTGACAAGCAGAACGATTAGACCCTCTTTAGCTAGGTGGCAGCAGATTAAAACTAAAACAAAAAGATAATAGCTGTAGAACAAGATTTTTGTGAGTGTCTTTCTTCAATTCCTGCCAGTATATCAGTGTTGTCTTCAACTAAACAGGAGTACACTACATATATTATTTGTGAGATTTTTGTCTGATTTACACTGTGTTACCTGAAAGGCCATTGAGTTGGCACTGGCAAGAAATATACTCAGCGGAACAGAAGCCTTGTAGGTCCTGTGGCTCCATAATCTGTGAGCACCAGCCGTCACGCCGAGAGCACTGATGAGGTAGCACACTGTACCTACGAAGGAAACATGCAAAAACATGTCAGAACAACACTCAGATTAATTTTTCTCCACTGGGGGCGGGGTCACTGGGACACAACACGTTCTTTCCACTGCACTCATTACATAAGTCATGTGTCTGAGGAGATGGGACTGAACAGCGGGAGCACGCGGCTTTCGTCTGCCCTCGCATTTAATTTGCTGTTCTAAAAACGCTGCTGCCCAGACCAGATGGACCCGGATCGGGGCTCGAGTCTGGCAGAGAGCACAGTGGTGTCACAGTGGTGTCACGCTGCTGACAATGGGTCGTCTGTGAAAGAGGTGATTGTGCTTTGTCCTTTCCAGAAGTTATGCAGTACCAGAGTGGTTACAAAGTTACTGTTCAGGAATTTCAGTTGTCACCTTCAACTATCTGTATCAGTTGCTTTTTATTACTTGGTCTACTAGTGTGCTTCTTGAATTTTTATACACAGAGTTGTTACAGGTGTAGCAGCTGATCAATAATAAACATTTGGCAAAGATTAACCTGCCTGCAGCAGGGGCTGAATTAGTTTAAATTGTGACATGTAAGTATCAAAATATCAATATACATTTATTTTTGCTTATTTATTATCTGTGATTTTTAATTGAATAATAAAGACGTAAACTTAAAATTTTAAATAGTATGCATGTACTTGAACTTGAACTAGATAGTGACACATACTTTCTCTTTCCTTATATGACCATATTTAATTATAGAAGGCATTATTTAAAAAAAGGAAGTAGCATTTTGTTCTTAACTCATGACCCAAGGCCATCAAACAGGTCTAATAGCACCCCCTGTGGGAGTGGCTACTACTTTTTATGTACTCTTTACTCATTACTTGTGCATATATTGTATTAACTAATCCCTTTAAAAATGAACCAAAAGACAAAAACAATCCAAATTATCTTTATCTTAAAAAAAATCAAGCAAAATAAAAAACTTTGATCATGCATTTCTGAGTGTAGTTGAGATGCATTCAGTTTAACAGGAAGTGCTCTGTGCCACAACGCGTTTTGTTTTATTTTGTAATAAAATTGTTATTATTTTAAAAACTGAGACCTGGTGAGACTTACTGGTGGGCCCTTTTCAGTCCACGGGCCGTAGCTTTAACATTCGTTATGCAAGCTGGGTTAAGAAATGCAGGCGCCCAAAGAGGCCTTGGAAATAAATGTTTGCTTGCTCGTCGTCATTTGCCGTAATGTCACGCGGGAGACGCGTGATTAACCGAAACGATTAAGGTGAATTTTTGTGATGCGCGACGTGTTGTGTGCAGTGGAGACGATCGCTCTAACGTGACTCATGTTCTCCATGTTCTCCACTGACACCGTGTTTAGCAGTGACCACACAACATCAGCACATCCTGTTCTCTGGCCTGCAGAACGCCGAGCAGCTGAGCCTGCCGCTGAAACAATGCAAAAACAATGATAATACTGACAAAAATCATAAAAAATAATGATTATGACAATAATACTCACTCCACACAAGAGTTGGCGCCGACGCGGAGGGGGCGAGGGTCAGTCCATAAAGTGCAGCAACATGTAGGAGCGACATAAGGATGATGTTCCTCCACACCGGTATTCTCGGCGGTTTGGGACCGTCTTTGTTTTTAAACGTGTCGTCAAAAACATCCTCCACCGTGGACACCTCGGTCGCGGCGTCGCCGTTCTGTCGCTTCTCTCCGTGTTGACTCCTGCTCTCCGTTTCGGTCATGGTCGATCAAAGCTCTGTGGAACAACAGGGGAGGAGAATAGGAATAAGGTGCTGCGTGAATTGCACGCAGTTAGATGCAGCTGGAGTGGAGTAGAGCGAGAGAGAGAGAGGGGAGGAAAAGGAGGAGGAGAGCGAAGGAGAGGAGGAGGTACGGCGGCTGGATGTGTACATGCAGCGGGAGTCGCGGCTTCGACTGTGCTGCTGAAGATCCAGACAGAATGTAATATAAACCCGAGACTGAGGCGGAGACAGGACCGTGTAAAAGAACCGTGGACAGCAGGCCCGAACCGAGACTGTTCTGTTCGGGGGGTGGGATGTTAAATCGGGGGTGTGGTATTTTTTATTTATTTATATATATATTTTTAATATATATATAAATTATTATACAGTATATTATAATTATATATATTTTCAATGTATATATTAGACATTAATGGTCAAATATATACTTGGGGCCAGACAGTGACACAGTGGTTAGTGTCCTTGCCTTACAGTGAGAATAAAAGTTGTTCGATTCCTGGTGGTAACAGATGGTCTGATGCTGTGATGACTTCAAACTCACCTGTGATTTAACTGCAAATATTGAATGAATGCTTTTTTATATATATATTAACTATTAAAGTGCAGTAAACAAATCAACTACAAGAATGGTTTATTCAAACTCAGCTGTTTATCACAGATACTACAATCCTACTGGACACTAGCTGCAATGGGTGAACTATAGAAAAACAATTAATTTATCAATCATCAATCATAACAAATATGTGGAACTTTTAGTCTTGTCACATTTTTTCCTAATGATACAACCATTCATACTTTACACAGTTGTTGTCATTGTCCAAGTCTTACTCACCGTGCCGTGATCACAGAAAACAACAAAGCTGCTGAGGGAGTCCTGTGCACAAAGATGTAGATGAAGATTTCAAAAAAACAAATTGAAGATGTTGAAGCGTGAAGTCCTCTCCCACCAGCTATTTTAAACTGGTTTTAAACGCAGGTGATGGTGATGATATGGTATCAGCTCTGAGTTCCCATTGGCTCTTTGCTGAACTGATGTGCACCGCCCTTGGTTTGTTCATATCTGGAAGTCTTATCGCAGGGAGAATACATTGCTGTTGCAAAATCTTTATATCTTCACCCCCTTAACAAATAAAATCATGCGACAGGTCACAGACGGCATTATGTCATGCTGGGTTGCTAATGTGACCTCGGGGAGAAGAAGTGGAACTCTGTGGCTGTAGCTTAACACCACTGTATACAGTATCATATGATCATCATATGATGATTAAAGTCATGATTAGAACATAGAAACATGTGGCTTCTATGTGACCAGAGAGCAGTCCTAAAAAGAATCTAAAATAGGAACCTTACATTTGCATGTAAACCCAGTGACACAGTGCACTGGTAAACAAGTTCATTTCCTCTCACAGGCACCATCTAGATCATTTGGGCACAATAATGACATTTCTTCATTCAGGCGATAAAACAATATCCAATCATTGTGCGCTGTCTGTTGCAATACATGACCTCATTCAAACAAAAGTGACTGCAAATAGAGGGGGTGGCAAAATGAGGAGGGAAAGGGACGGGGGGGGGGACGTCTGCTGACACACCACAGATACTGAAATCATGACCGTCAGTAAACTTGAATAAACGTGGTCTGAACTCTGGGGAAATTGTGAAACGCCAGGAGTGTGTATTTGGGACATGCAACCAAAAGATATTGGCACCGCCACCAAGTGTGCAAACACAGCTACTGCAGGTAAAAGAAAAGAAGATGAGCTGTTGTTGGTGTTAAAGTAGTGTGTGAAAGATGTTGAAGGATCTGTGGTCATAAAATAATGTTGAAAATAAATACAAATAAATGGGTAAATTATAGAATTTTGGACTCTCCTTACAGCCACTGCACAAAAAGAAATGACAATGTTCAAAAGTTATATTTATTCCTTCTTTTTGAGGGGCATATAACTTTTCTTGAAGACTGTATTGTTTATTATAAGTGTATCAGACTCTTTTCAGATAAAACATTAAAAACACAGCCCTTGTGTTCCTTTCTACCCAATGTGAAAATCTAAAAGTTGAGGCCAAAGTGTGGACCTTCTTCTACCTCTCGAGCAGCAGCACCAGTTCACAGTGAGGAGTGTGTGGAAACATGTCCACAGGCACAGCTAGAGTTGGTGTGAAAGGCTCTCCCGTGAGTTTTTTCTGTGAGTCACGTTCACAACAAAGCTCCTTGAAGTTCCTCATAGCTTCTCCATCTGGTTTACATGAAACGTAGACCAGGCGACGGATACGAGGCTGGTTCCGTAAAGCTCGAACCACTCTGGGGTGCAGGCCAGCCCGGGAGGGGTTGACCACAGCCGTGAGGCCCGTGTCGTCATGACTTAACCTAGCCATGAGAGCAGGGACCACCACCTCGGCCTTCCCAGGGATAAATTCACAATTCAGTAAGTTATTGAGGGATGCGTTGTGTCGAGCGTCTTCCACCGCCTGTTCAACGAGCTCTATGCCAATGACCTTGTCCACCCGCGAGGAGATGGTGATGCCATTAGCACCTGTGCCGCAGCACACGTCTAGAAGTGTACCGCCCAGTTTTGTTCTTTCGCCGCCCTCTCCAGTATTCGGGGTGCACAGGTCTCTTACTGTTCTGTACAGCACCTCAGCAGCGGTGTGGTTCACTTGGAAGAAAGCGTCTGGAGAAATGCGGAACTTGAAGCCAAGGACCTGTAAATGGCAAAACAAAGCCAAACAAATGATAAACTTCATATAGACATGTGGGTTTCCTGCTATATCTGTCATTACATCCTATTTGCATACAGTAGCTACACAACTCACCTAAAAAGACCTAAGGTTGAACTGAGCCATTAAAACTTTACCCATACACTACACTACTGCCTGTCAAAATGTGGGCGGAGCAAACATTGCGGTTTAAAGATAAAGGCTTACGACTTCCTATTTTTAAACTAAATCGTGTTACTAACATTCCATGTAGACCTCAAGGAACCATATTGATCTGCATAAAAGAAGCATAATGTGTCCCCTTTAATTGGGTAACGTAACTTTTGAATTAGTCTAAATGTCAAAACTCATATATTGTTCTTTTGCCCTGCTAGCGCATTATATTACCTCTTCATACATGTGAGGCTGACCATGTAGGAGCTGGTAGGGAGATTGTTCGTGAGTGCAGCGGGTCATGACGCTCTCTTGAAAGAACAGCGAGTCCAGCTGACACACTGATCCAGGGCCGTGTATGAAGTATTCCTGCAGGTCAGCCTTGTGGATGGACACCTCCTCGGGTGTGAGTGTCTGAGGGTGAAAGTACACTATAGCCATGGTGTGGCCCTTGTGGTTGGTTCTCACTGTGATTTCTCTCCAGTGACCACCAGTGTGAAAGAGCAGGCACGGCTTCAGAGGAGAGCGGCGTATGAAGTCCTGGTAGCATCTTGCCACCAGCTTGTGTTTCTCTGGCATGTTGAGAAGGTGGTCTCCGTTGACACAGACAATGTTATTTCGTCCGCCTGTGCCTAGATAAAATCCAACGGTCTTCTCATTTCCATCAACTCCTTTGTTGACGTTGAATGTGGACTTGTTCCTGTAGCCATTCTGCACTGGTGACGGAAGGATGGGTAGGACAGTAAAGCTGGGTTTGTGCTTAACAGATGATGAGGTTTGTGACTGGGAGTCCCCAATAAGATACCAAGAGAGCTGAGAGAGAATCTTTAGCTGTTGTTTTTGCTTGACCTCAAGTTGCTCCTCATAGCTGAGCCTCCACAGAGGAGTAACCACATCAGCCAGATTTTCCTCCCACGACTGTTCAACAGACCAGGGAGGATGTTTGTAAGTTTTCTTCTTGAATTTATTGAACTTTGATTCCCTCTTGTCGACTAAACTGGAGTTATATGTTGAAAAGAGGCCTGTTTTCTTTGAAAAATTAACAATATAATATCTCAATAAAACGACTGACCTGTTACAAAGAGCTGCCATAATCGCTTTACGTTAACCGAGTGCCGTATCGTATAGCGTAACACACTCGTGTGTTTTCGATTCAATTTATACGATGTGGCTTTGATATCCGGCAACTTGTTTCGACGTCAGCTCCCTGCGCCCCGAACCAAGTAAACATTTCCGTTTTTCTTGCGATGGATTCAAACAAGGACGAGGCAGATCGCTGCATCAACATAGCTATAAATGCAATCAGTAACAATCAACATGACAAAGCCAGAAAGTTTTTGGAGAAGGCACAGCGTCTTTTCCCGACGGATCGAGCCGAAAGTACGTCGAGTAATAAGCTGTTTCCACGGTGATTGGTGTCTGACGATAGGCCATCGCGGTTAGCTAACTTTAGCTTAGCCAGCTAAGCATTTCTACATCTGCTCATTTTACACCCTGGAATTTGCAGTATTTGCAACTACGACTAGCAGTGTTTCGTCCAGGTGGTTCGTTATATTAGTTAAAATATTTTTCCCTGTGTAAGAGGAGTTGTTATTGTCCTGTTTTGGTAGTCTGTTGGATAACTGTACTATAGGATAAATCTTCACTTCTAACTCGAGTTGAGTTCAACGTTTTAAATCATTTTTATTTGTAGGTGCAGATTAAACCTGTTATACAAATTCCCTTTGTTTGTGCAGAAGCTATAAAATATGATTCTTTCTTTGGTGTTACCGATTATTATGTTTACGTTAAGAGAGGGTTAACTTGTAGGAGGCAGCCATGTTGGGTTTACAGAAGTAGAAGTTCTACATCCACACGGTATATTCTCAGTTTAATTGCTGATCTTAATCTATAATGACCGGCATGTAAACAGAAGAGCTGTGTATTTTTGACAGAGACACAGTGAAGTGTCTGGTCAGATGACAACTTCAGTTTGCAGGTTTCTGTAGAACAAGTGTCAATAAAATCGTCAAGAAGGTTTTCAGTAATGTTCTAAAGCCCAGTAGAAGTACAGGTAGCCAATGATGCTTCAGTATATGTCATGGTGCTAAATTATTATAATAATGCTATTATTGTTTATTTATTTTATAGAGTTAATGGACTCGTTAGCACAAAACGGAAAGCCTCCGGAGGCGAATGGAGCTGCAATGAACGGAGACGGTCCCTCAATGAGACACCGATCCCACAAAGAAGAGGCAAATAGCACACAGACGACCTCAGACTCAACCAAGACCTACACAGCAGAACAGATGGAAGCTGTCAGGAAGTGAGGATTAATTTTTTTCTTGCTAAATGAGTGTTTGGAAAATCTTAATACCAATGCTTGTGATGATCGTGAGGGTCCCAAAACAAAAGGTTAATGTGATGAAAATGTTTGTAGTGTTGAGATCTGACCAGTCTACTGCTGTCCTTTTTATCTGCAGGATTAAGGCCTGTAAGGATTATTATCAAATTCTGGGAGTTGAAAAAACAGCCACCGATGAAGATCTTAAAAAATCTTACAGAAAACTGGCTCTTAAATTTCACCCAGATAAAAATCATGCACCTGGAGCCACAGAGGCATTTAAAGGTAAACCATGTTAATGCTGCATTGCCATTTTGTTCAGATGCTACAGAGGTGACCAGACTGATTAATGTTTTCTCTTTTCAGCTATTGGTAACTCTTACGCTGTTCTGAGTAATCCTGAGAAACGAAAGCTGTACGATAACTACGGAGAGGAGAGACACAGCCAACACCAACACAGACATCACCGTGAGTTTGAAGCAGATATTTCACCTGAGGACATCTTCAACATGTTCTTCGGTGGAGGGTTCCCAACAAGTAAGTTAATTCAGATCTTAGTCCTTAGTCCAAAGTCAGACCACCGGTAAGCCTTATTCCTAATGTTTTTGTTTTTTCAAATATCAGGTAATCTTTACAGAAATGGAAGGATGCACTTTGCACATCATACTCGGCAGGAGAGACGAGGCGAACAGCAGGGAGACGTGAGTCCCGGCCTGCGTGATATTCTAGATAAACCTAATGCTTCTCAAGCTTCTCACTCCTGTTTTGCTGGAGCACCACATGGACTTGGAATTCATTGCTTGGATTCCCAGCTAATTTCTATTAATTTTCTAACCTTAATTTATTTATTTTTTGCTTCACAGAGAGGCCTTGCACTCTTTGTCCAGCTGATGCCGATCTTAATCCTCGTCCTTTCTGCCCTCAGCCAGTTGATGGTCACTCAGCCTCCATACAGCCTCAGCTACAGACCGTAAGTGCTAATCTGGCTACAGACAGCTGACAACAACCACCACAACATACAAACATGCAGTTTGACTCACCCCATGGACGTCGTGTCTCCTTTGCCTACAGGTCCGTCGGACATATTCACAAAAGACATACGTCCAACCTGAAGGTGCTGTACTATGTGGGGGAACAGTTCACTGAAGAATATTCTGGGAACAATCTGAAGAATGTGGAGAGGAGCATAGAAGGAGACTACATCTCCAACCTCAGGAACAACTGCTGGAAAGAGAGGCAGCAGAGTGAGTTTACACTAAAACATTTACAACAAAGAAAAGTGATTTCATTTTTGATGTACTGACGTTCTTCCCTCTGCTGCCCCCAGAGGATGGTTTACTGTATCGAGCCCGTTACTTTCAGGATTCCGATTTGTACCAAAGGGCACAGAGAATGGGAACGCCAAGCTGCTCCAGACTATCCGAGATTGAAGTCATATTAGACGGCTAGAAACCACTTACACGAAATAAAGGTATGTTGCACAAACGTTTAGGTTTTAGATTCCTCATTTGACATAAAGGAGACCTCAGGTGTTATGGAAGCCCAAAATGGGCCCTGGTAGGCTTCAACACGTGATTGCAGAACTTTGACCAAGACAGGGTCATCAATATACTGTAGGCCATCGAGGGGTCACTGTTTAATGGATTTTCTTTAGTGAACGATATTTAAAGTCTCTGAAAGTTGGTTTTAATTAATTCCAGCAAAAAGAAAAAAACTTGTCATTGTGTAAAAAAATAGAAGAGAATTCCAGTAACGTGATAATGACAATAAAAATATGAGATTAAATTGTGTGACAGCAGCTTAAAAGTGTTTACATGGTTTGAATTTATCTTGACTGTGCACCACTGATAGTGAGCTTTTCTCATGATTAGACCAAACGATCAATGTCAAAGTTGAAACAGAGTTTCTTGGCTGATGTGCAGATGTGCAGGAATGAAGCTTATCCAGTGGAAAGTGCTTGTGGCCAGATTATCTTTTTTGTCTCTCTCTGCAGGTTCTTCACTACTTGAAAATAATTTAAAGCAATCTGCTGGAGCTCATTCGAATTGGAGAAAAATCAAGAGAATCAAGAATGCCTTATGTACAGTGGGCAACAAACGAGGATCCAGGGGCAGTCCCTGATTGACTTCCTGTAGAACTGTGAGAAGCTTCAACTTGACCGCAGACTTTTTTCTTAACTATATATATATATATATATTAGTGTCTTCAGGACAGTGAGAGGCCACTGTGGAAATTAGGGGCTTATTTTAACATTTTTGAAAGCTGCTAACATTAGCTTTTTCTCTGACCGAATCTTTTCTGTTTTACTAAAAATTCTTGGAGGAACGTCCCGGCCTTCCCTTGAAAGGATGTCTGAGCCACTTGTGAGGAGATGTGTGTGATTTTTATAGATCATTCTAATGTAAATATTCATCTGAGTTTTAACAGAGCCGGGTTTATGGAAGTAAAGCTCATCATCATCATTTGTATCATCATGTGGATTTTTGCTTGTAGTATGTTGGACTCTTGAGTCTTGGAGAATCATTGCACAAACATATTTATTAATTTAATGATGAAATTGTACAAAGGTTTCTTTAAATTAAAATGTGTCCTTCGACTAATGTGTGTATTGTTTTGTTTTGAATAATGTTCAGAATGTCTACATTAAACAATGTTTAAATCAAAATGAATGTCAACAGTCCAGAAAAGAACACAGTCAATGCAGAATTTAATAAAAAATAATTTATTCGCATCCCTCAAGTTTTTAGTAACAAAATGAGTTTCTGGTTGACAGCATTCGCAAACACATTCTTCACACCTTCCTGGTGTTACTTAAAATTCACAGACTTTCCCTGTTAATACATCATTCTCTTTGGTTGAATAGCAGCCATGAGAAGATTCCTGAGAATAACACAGACGTGTACAATAAGTTTAGTTTCTGGGGCAGCAAATCAGTTCCACTTGTGTCACTTATTTTTCCATGATCAACATGAAATTGGGCTCCAGGAGTATTTGGTCAACAACACTCCTTAATCAACAGGTCCTCTGAGGAGTACAGTTTTCTTTTGATGGCCCTGAAGCTTGTACTGAGCCTCTGAATGCTTCGGTGCCTCGGAGATGTTCCAGACCTCTGTGGAGATCTGCTCCCTTTGAAGAGCTTTTGGACCTTTGGCCACAGTCCACCAGCTTCAAGACGCAGCACAAGAGTTACGTGAAAAGTGGGGACCAGGGAGGCATCTACCACTATTTGCTCCACATTACATAGTGAGTCCTGGTCCCCCCGGTCTATACACAGGTCAATCAGCGCTCCCTTAAGCCCACAGGGCTCACACGAAGACAGATGGAGCAGCTCCTGACTTATACTGTACTGGAGACAGTCAGGTAGGAGCAGTCTGGAGCAGCCCAGGTTGTGGGACGCATTCCTGAGGCTTTCAGTGATGGTCTCTGTGATTTCTGCGGCCAGGGTCTCCTCCAGGGGTTCAGAGAAAATGCTGTTGTCAAATTCTGATAGAGACGTATCTGCAGGAGACCCTGAGAGAACCAAAGATAATGTGTCACTTTTAGGTGTGAAAACAGCCTGTAAACAAAACAACACAGATGCTCTGTTTGCATCCCACCCAAGTCAAAGGCGTTTGTTTAAATCCAACAAAAAGTCAGTGACAACTCACCAGTCTCACTCCTGCAGTTCTGATCTGCTGCGACCCTCTGATTGGTCTTTTTCAGTTCAGTTAGCCTGAGCAGCAGGCTGCCCCAGGACAGTCTCTTCGAGCTCCTGTCCTCTACTGGAGACGGAGGAAAGCTGCCGTCCAGGGATTGACTGCGAGAAAAAGACATCTTCTCCAACAGTTAAGTAATATGGTTGTATGGAAGAATGGTATAAAAAAAATGAAATAAGTGCAGAAGTCAGACCCCTGTGTCAACCCCCGAAAGCCAGACCAGCTGGAAAACTACCGTCACAAGCAGGACAAAGCTTTAAATACCTAAAGCAACGTGCGCCGCCCATTCGTTTTATCAACCAATGAGCTTGGAGCACACGTCCTCAGCGTTTCACTCTGCCTGGCAACATTTTTGGTCTCTGATGGAGTAGAGGAAATCCAACCCCCATGAGTTTTCGAGTTCTGGAGTTTTCCACAAATTTTGACAACTTAGAATAAAAATATAGACAAAAGAATAAACATTTTAACTGATTCATTATGTACATAAGATGGCACCGCCAATGTAGGATAGTTGAGTAAACGGTTTAAACGGCGAAAAAAGACGTTCGCATTTTGGAGAAAAATAACAAAGGGCTTCTGGAAGGAGTCATTCATTCGCATACCTCTGGATACTGACACGTATCACACGTAGACCACGGAGGGCTTTGTTTAAAGTTGCCCGAAGCGATCAAACGATTGACGACAGAATGAAACACTGATTTAGTAACGATAACAACGTTACGTGTCTGGATGTTGTTTTCTTGTAATCCCCTAACATTTATATGCAAAAATATGTTCTGTAAATAACATGTTTCATACTACTGTTTGACCAGCACAATTTAGTCATTAGCAACTTTTTCCCGTATTCTTAGAAACAGTTGTTCTAACATGACAAATTTCAAATTACATTGTTATATGAATCTGTAATTGTAACCAAATTTCCATATTTGGACCATTTGTCCATCTATCTGTTCTACCACATAACTGACCCTTTTTGGGACTAAGTTACATTAAGTTTTCTTCAGTTAAAACATTCAGTTAATGTTCTCTGTTATCCAGCTCAAGAAAGACTGTCTTGGCTTTATTGAAGAAACTGTTTCTTCTGCCATAAACTAAAACAGACATCAATGACCAGTTCCCTCCTACTTTACTGCTTCAGACTTTATTCAGCATATTCTTTTAAAACTACAAACACCTCAAAGGTTAAGCTGCACTCATGATGCTGTGAAGTGACTGTTGTTTGAGATGTGCTTGATAAACAAACTGTCCTTGCCTGAATCAACTGTTGGAGTCATTCCTCCTACTCCTGATCTGCAACTTTTCTGACCAACCCCCCAGCAACACCTCTCTGTCCTGCAGTAGCTTCTCGGAGGATATGGATTTGTATGTTGTGTAATTACTGCAATTACTCAGACAATGCTAACATCCCCAATTTTATAAACATAAGGTTTTAGAAAAAATAACAGCGACAACAACAACGGTAACGACTGATTTCTCCCAGAAAGGGGAGCGACTATTTAATATTGTAATGCACGCAAATTCCAGAGCAGGGCGCTGCTACATCAAGTTTAAAAGGCTTCTGTTTGATTACATGCGCTTATCACCTGAAGTGGAGGTGGGGCAGTGTTCCATATAGAGTTTGGATTTATTGCTAAAGAAAGCAGAAACGAACCTGCATGTTCTCTCGAGGGAGGCACTATATGCTGGCTCAGGGACCCAGATTTGTTTATTTTGTCATTACCACAGCAGTTTGTAGTGTCCACTTCCAAAATCCCAAACATTATTGTTTGATCTCCTAAGAAAATCCCAGCTGATCCAGCTCCATCTCACTAAAATGCATGTTCCTAGAGTGGAAGTGGGCGGCGCTGGCGCCCCACACACACCTGTACCGAATTCCCCGTTTTTCGACAACATAAAAAACGGTGTTAAGTGCTCATGTACAAACGTCTCTTTAGTAACAACGGATCAATTTATACAACAACAATTCCTCCTTTTCGTTTGAAATAAAACACTTTTAAAACAAGCCTTTCAGGTGAATAACATTTGAAAAGTAAGATTCACCATCCGAGTGGACAAATGCTAAATACAGAACTAACTCCTGAGTTCTTACAGGAAACATGACTAAACCAAGACACAAAACGCTAAAGAAAAAAAAATAAACAAAACAACAACAACATGAAAACAGAACTTGGCAAGTTTCCCAACCCCGCAAACGACAAACAACGAAACACATTCAGACAACAATGAAAACAGCGAAGAAATAAAAAGTTCAGTGCCTGGCAGCCATCTTGGATTCCTTTTATAGCCATGTGCTTAATCTGTGACCAATCATCTGACGACGGTAGAAATCTCCCCCAATCACCTTTCGGTTTTCGAGAAGATGAATTTGCATGGAGCGGTTAATCTCAACAGGTGTCTTCGATAGCAATCTGGAAATATTCGCCAGTCACATCGAGGAGTACTTAAATCCAAATTAGCATGCATATATATATATATATATATATACAATACATAATGTATGTGAATTAATTGGAAAATGTACTAAAGTAGTTCTCCCTTCACTGACAGGCTTGACATAAACCATTAACAGAAGGAGGCTACATTACTAAGTGGTATGTGCTGTATTTTGAACTGTAATCACAACAGAACAAGGACGGAAACACAAAAATGTTGTTAAATAACAAAAAATGTTACTAAAACAATAAATATTGGTCATTGGTCAACACAAATAACAAAAAATGTCAACGTGAACATCTCTATCAGCCCTTTAAAACAGCATGAGTTTCACATAAACCACACAATAACATGTATTAGGCCATTTCCAATGTGGAACATCTCCAACAACATTAAATTTGTATGAAGTTGATACCCTTGAGAAATGTAAACTTTTAGGTAAACAAATTTGTATCTAAGGCCCAACGGTGCAGACTATTATCTGCTGTAATCTATACAGTACCCGTTTTTGATGAGAGACGCCTCCACGTTTTGTTAATGAGCATCATCTGATCTTTATGGGCCTTTGTCCTGGAGCTATTCTGGCCATCACAATTGCCTCCCTCTGCTTCACACAAAGCACCAGGCATGGGTAAACTGTACACATGTGACTGACAGGGTGGTGTGTTTTCTTTGCTTTCATAAGGGGATTACATGACCCCCCTCCTCCTCCTCCCCCTACGGCTCTCTGACTCTAAGATTACTCAGCCATTTTTTGTTCTTCAGCTGGCTCCAACAGAACATTGTTGGCCTGTCATGTTCTGCCCTCTTTTCTCACAAGCCCGGTGCATGTGAGCGTCACCTTTTCTACACAGAGTCCAGAGTCTGTGTCTACCTTCAATGTTCAACCTTTCAAAATAAAATTTACAGCATGCAAATCCCGTCAAGGCCTTTGCAAATGTAAATTAACCTGATTTGTTAGTCATAAACATGGTTTGACTGGACGATGACATAGACCCAGCAATGAAGGCAGGGATTTTTTGTTGTTTAAAATGTTGTATCACAGATAAAAACAAACAATCCACAAACTGCATATTTCTACATGCACATGAGATTATAACAAAAAATAATTCAATATTTAAACCTCGCTCTCTTTGTGACCAACATCTCCTCTAAAAACGTTATATAAACTACTTGAAAAGCTGCACTCTTCATTTGTAAGGTCTTATTAGGTGCATATTCATATCATTTGAATGCAATATGACCATGGTTTGCATTTGATTTTACAGTATGTGTTTGGATCAGGATGGGGGAGGCATTCAACACAAAGAACACCTTCCCCACAAAGAGACCCAGTGATGGGGTACTGTCCTCTTAGGTGCATCTGGAACGGGTCAGTATTAAAAAATAAAAAATAAAATAATAATAAAAAAAGATTATGAGAAGATACTAAAATCTTAGTCAGCAGCAGTCTTTATATATATATATATTTTTTTTTGTAAACGCAACAAAGACTCAACAATAATGTTTGGTTTTTTTGTGCACAGTAGATTTACTTTTCTGTCAAGGAAATAAATGTGGGGCTCCAACAGCACAATAGGATTTTAGGTTAGGAACAGCTTTTCACTCTCTCTCGCTCTCTTTCCTCTCGTCTCCCTCTCTCGCTCTTTCTCCACACCTCCTCCTCCTCCTGCTCCTCGCAGCAGCAGCAGAAGGAGCATCATCCTCCTCCTGTAAGGACTCAGTTAGTGGTGTTATCCCAGCCTCAGCATCATCCACCTCCTCCTCTTCCTCTTCCTTCTCCAGCCTCCTTCCAGAAGCTGATAAACGGTGTGCGTGACGAAGGTGTCCGCTGACATGTTGAGAATTACGGATATGTGTCGCCTCCTGCCCCCGCTGCTGATGCTGATGCTCAGCGGCTTCACCTTCCAGGAGACCCAGGCGAAGAGCGTGAAGGCGGCAGAGAAGACGGGCAATTTCATGGATGACGAGCAGTGGCTGTCCACCATTTCACAGTACAGCCGCAAGCTCAAGCACTGGAACCGCTTCAGAGACGTAAGTCCGCCCGGGGTTGATGGGGAGGATGCGGGGCATTGCGGTAGAGTAGGACACAACGGTTATAACAGTTGACACATTCTGTCATTCTGATGGTACACACTAACTTAATGAGGCTGTCGGTAAAAGTCAGTGGAGAGCCTTATATTATATTATATTATATTATATTATATTATATTATATTATATTATATTATATTATATTATAAAACATGTAATATAAAATATGGAGATTTTAAAACTATCTTTTTTAGAAATGCTAACTTTCATTCATATACCGAATGGCAAAATAAAACACTATAGAGTGACATTTAAAACTATCAGCTCGCTGTGTGAACCAATAAAACAAGAATAGAAGTTACATTTTGCACGAGTAATGTTTGAGGTAAATAAGCATCAAATATTGAGGAAACGTTGGAATAAGTGTCATTTAAAAATGCAAAAAATTTCAGGCGACATTTAATAAATTTTTGATGTTTAAAAACCCAGCAGCACTAGCATTTCTGCTGCTAGCTGCAGGTGACGTGGAGTTTCTTTTTGTAATACGTCAGGAAGTGGTACAAGAGACTAAAACCGCAACCTAATATATAAAATTACAATTTTTTTTGTTTCCTTTTGATATTCTGTAGCGTGTGTATCTTCCTTTTCTCCCCTGCTGGTGGTGCTATGTAAGCATTCAAAAAATCTAATTCCCCAGGTTGTTTGTTTGTTTGTTGACTGTAATGAGTATCAGATATTGGAATTTAAAAAAGTAAACGTAGCTTTTAAGTTACATTTTTAGTTTCAGTAAACTCATTAAAATATTGGGGGAAAAACACAATATTTGTGTTGTTGGAGTCTATAAACATGTAAATAAGTGGAGAAGCCTAGCTTCACAGCTAATTGCAGTTTTAGTCAATGTCTATTCTGCCTTTCTTCCCAATCCCTGTTGTTTTGGGCTTCCGTTAATTATACACAATTAATGTTTCAGTCTCCGCCTGCACAGCGGCAGGAGTACAGACCTACTTCATCATAGTGCTCCCAATATGTGTTACCTCCGATGTGGTTCCAGAACAGTCTCTGAGGATTTCACAAACAAGACAATTTAGCAATTAGAGCGGGGTGTGTGATTGATTGATGCACATCTCCACCTACTGTAAAAGACTGCACTGGGTTTCAGGGAGATTGATTAAAGCCTGCAGGGATTATATGCCTGGTGATGTATTGCCGTGTCCGTGAATGTATAGAGTTGGTTTGGCCTCCAGCACGGTGAAATGATTACAAATAATCCCAGTAGGATTTGGACAATAGTGTATAGTTGGATTATGTTCCATAGGACTCCTGTTAACTGGATTTACATTGATCCAGGTTGGTTTATTGGAGATGCGTTATTATTGGATATGAAATGTGAGCGGCAGGCTTCAGCGTAAGTGTTAGCGTAATGTTTTCTCAGAAGCGGGACGTAATTATCACAGAGGCTGTGATGTCATGATTTGGTGCTAGAACCTTCATGCATCCTCCGTGGAGATATGTGAGATGATGGTGGTAAATTGGCAGATGATGGAGCAGGTGCTTGGCTCTCAATCTAGAACGTTAGAAATGCAAACAAACTACTGCAGGATGTGGAGGACCTGGTGGTATTACCACCTTCTCTCTTCTCTAAATGTAACCCCACCAGAGCTGCTGTGGAACCACAACACTCCCTACAGCAGCATACCACGTCTTTCATGATCATTAATCCCCGGGGCCGTTCTCTGGATGTGAGTGAACGTGTGATGTATTTTAAATGTTTCTATATCTGGGCCAGAAATCTGCTCAGATTTAATTTTACCTTTAACTGAGGGTTTGTGGCATGGAATGCATTTAAAGGCTGGAGAGTGTGGAACTTTGGTGATGATCATGAGGATCGTGATGAGAGAAGAAATATCAGAGAACCTCCAGAGGAAAATCACCAAGAGAAACAGCTTTGATTTCAGCTGCTGTAGCAACAGCAGGGTGTGTGTGTGTGTGTGTGTGTCATTGTGTTTCACTGGGGGTTCGATGACTCCATCCACTCACCAGTCCTGCTTCAGAAGGAAGGAGGAAAAACAGGCTGTAGCAACATGGTTCTTAACTGACTGCTGCTTTTTTTGTTAGCAAATATCTTTAGATCATTTGTTTGTGAGAACATAAAAAAATAACAAGCTCCGATCTTTTAAATCTTTAAATCTATATCTGAATATCTGAATATGTTGGTGAAAAAAATACAAAGAATGAGAACAGCTGGATTATTGACACGTGTCTAACAGAACGGTTCTGAATCTCCGGTTCTTGTTCCCTAACCTTTAAAAGGTAATGAGCCACAGCACGCTCCACCCATCATCTCAAGACCTGAACGCGACTTCCAGTAACCATGGCAACTAGTTAAGCATTAAGAAAAACAGCTGCCAGTAAATCACTAAAGTGCGCAACAAGTGTTTTACTCCTGTGCACGTGTGCCACGCTGGAAGATATGGTTAGTCCAGCGACTGCAGCGACTGAATTTAGCTATGACTTGTTACAGTTTGTTGAGTGTAACATCAACATTTAAAAAAAGAAAAATACCAACAAGGAGTGGTTGGGGTCACGCACATTCAGCAGTGGTTTCTGCCCTTGGCCTTATTATACAGAGAACGTTCACCACAACATCTCCTCCCTGTAACAACGAAGCCTTTGATCAGTGCTGCTTAACCAATCTGTTCAATCAAACCAGAGTACTATGAACCTGTAAAAAAAAAAAAAACTACAAAGAAGTAGTTTGGGTTCTAGGAATTTGCAGGTGTGTGTACAGTCGTAACATCTGTCCATCACACACTGGTAGGTGTTCAGATTTCACAAATTGATGTTGACATCCGCCGTCCTCTGAGAGCTGAGTGATGAATATTAACTCGACACTGGAACGCAATAATCAAAGCTGCAGAACATGAAAGAGGATCTCTGTCAATCTCCCTTTAGTCGATGGCACACACACACACGAACACACACACGCACACACACACGCATATAATTCATAGGCAGCACAACACAACAGATAGTAAATATTTTATATTTATTCACTTACCAAATGTAAAAGCAGATCCAGGATAAGAGCGACCGACAATAAAAATAGCTCTCACCATTCAATCTCTCTCACGGGACGACAAGGCGATTAGATTTAACATTAACAGTCAACAAATAGCCGAATGAGATACTTCCAATCCTCTAATCTGACAGGTGCACTCAGCCTTTCATTCCACTAATGCACGCCGAATCCAGAAAAGTATATAAATAAATAAAAATAAGCAAAAGTAAAAGTGGAGAAGATGCTAAAATCATAAAATCCTAAAGCACCCGGAGATGTGTAACCCTGAAACGCGAGGTCCTGTTTTACAAAAAAATATAAATGTTCAAAGTACAAGTACATGAACGCCAACAGTATTCTTTTTTGTTTCCTTGTGTTTGAATATGTTTCTTCATTTCTCCTGTGTGTGTGGCTGTTAAAACACATGCATCTGCGCTGAGGAAACCAGTTCAGTTCCTTCGGCTCCCATTATCCAGTCAGTTAATTTCCAATCAACAGAAAACCCTCAGTACCAACAACACAACATTCTGTTCTTCGTTACTGACGCTGAGAATTATTTGTGTAGAAAAGTGCTTTAGATTCAGCCACGATAACGAAAATATTAACCCGCTGTTATTTGTCCTCCACTAAATATAAAATCATTTTGTCATAATTAGGAATATTGATTAATCTCAATTAATCGTGATTAATCAACATTTCTGAATTTGACCAAAAGATTTCATTTGACCAGATTAAAAATGTTCGTAATACATGTATGTTTTTTTTCCAATGTTACACATTAAGGCAACTATCATTGTTATTGTAATTTTTGTGGGTGTGATTAGTTTTGTCACAACATCCCTGGAGGTGTACAGCCCCAAAGAACAGCGCTGTTATACACCGGCTCATGCAGGATGTCTTCAAGCAGCAGATCAGTTTGACTGTCGACTCAGACATGTTTGTTCTAAACCACACATGTTCACGAGTTCAGACGCAGGTGCTTGGTTGTTAACAGTTAGCTTGACATGATTCATACTTCAGAATGGCAAAGGTCAAGCAGAATTCTGACAATTTACAATTGTCAATTTTTTTTTTTTTTTGCTATATAAATTCATCAAATCATACAAAGCGTGGTGGCTGATAATGGCTTCTTCTCCACAGGAGCCAAATAATCCATTAAAGACCAGCCAGACAGTAAATTGTCATCACTCATCACTTTTGTGCTCAGTCATTACTTTGTATCTCCCAGCCGCTCAACCGCCGCGCTCTGCCTGATATTAGACTAGACTGAATGAAGATAACAGTGAATCAGGAATCCATTAATCCGTCCAGTGGTGCCTTGTTCAGACACCAATCAGATTCTCCGTGAGGTTACAAATGTGCTCAATTCAACTTGGCAAAGTGGAATCTCGCTCGCCTCCCATGAGAGAAGTGATGAGGTTGTTCAGGACTTGGACGCCGCGCTGTAGCGCCGTGAGGCGTCTTGGCCGGCTACCAGAGGCTTGGGTGGGCTGTAATTGAGTCAAAGAAAAAAAAGCATGGAGAGCATTTCATCATGCCCCGCGCGCTCGGCCACGGCCGCTTCTCACTGCAGTACAATGACTCCAGCTGAAGGGCACATGTGCTGCAGAGAGACGCCCAGATGATGTGATCGGGACGGCCATGAAAAGCAAATATCAATTTCCATCACAGATTAAATAGAATAAAAAGTGAATAAACGAATTTTCACCCACAGTTTCTTACACAAGAGGGAGTAAAGGCCGCAGACAATGACTGTGTCACCGGGACGACAGCACTGGCTCTGGACAGGACCCAGAAACCTCCTCCAGAACACAGAGACGTCTACACACTAAAGCCAGTTTACCGAAACAATCCTTTTGTCAGTCTGACGGTTAAAGCCTCAAACAGGTTTTGTCATTTATTAGTAGTATTAAAAAAAGTATTACTACATGGCATATTACTTT